TTTTTTTGGTTTTTCTCTGGTACCGGGAACCGAACTCACGACCTTGCGCTTGCCAGGCAGGCGCTTTGCCGCTGAGCTAAATCCCCAGCCCCTCGTTACTTCTTTCTCATCCTCCTCCTCGAGCCGGAGCTGCCCTACTTACCCAGCGGATGAGGGTGGCATAGGTGAAGGGGGGCCGCATGTTGTGGAACTTGAAGTAGTCCATGTTGTGGAAGAACTCTGGCAGCGAGTGGGGACAGATCAGGCCCCACCCTGGACATCATCCCTGCCCCACCCTCCCCTCCAACGCGAGTCCACCTGCCTGAAATCCCACACCAACATTGGGTCTGTGCTCACACACTGGACCTGTTTGCTGAGCACATGAGTTGTGTCAGTTCCTCTTTGTGTTACCCCTGCCAAAGTGGTTCTCCCCGAGATTGGAGAGAAGTGAAGTCATTTGTACAACATAGTGGCAAATTGGCAGGGCCGGGACGACACTCAGGGGCTCTGGTCCCCGGTGGACCCACAGCCCACGCCTGGTAGATAGCAGGGCAGTGGTGAGCTTGGGTGGCTCCATCCCCATTTGCCTTGGAGGCATGGGGGTAAGGAAGGAAGGGTCCTTAGGAATGACTTAGGTTCCCGCCTCTGCTGATGGCCATGTGGGACATCAGAAGCCCAAAGCAGGGGAGGCATGGCTCCAGTCCTCAAGGGAGACAGGGCTAGGGCTAGGCATTTGTAGCCATAACAGTAGGCTTTTGGGTTATGGAAATCCAGAGAGGAAGCTTTTACAAGCAGGTGGATTTTCCCGAAGTCTGCGTAGCAGGGGGTGGGCTGGGGGAGGGGTAATACAGAGCTACTTTGCAACACCCCCCATCAACTGAGATGAAGAGCTTGGGATTAGGAGCTTGGGGTCAGCTGGGATGGCGTGGACCACTCTCACCTGAGAAGGTGCCGTTTCCATGGCTGCCCCAGAGATGCCTCCGCACAGCAAACAGGCTATCGGAGGCCTCCTGGGGGCTGGGCCACCCTGGGCCACTGCTGCTGTGCGTGCCAGCAGCTACAATGCAGCAGGATCCCTTGTCGGATGACGCCTGGGGAAGGCAGGAGGGGCTGGTGATCCAAAGGTTTAAGCTTGTCACTTTATTTTTACATCAGTGTTTATATTTAAAGAAACTGGATCTTGTGCTGCCCAGGCTGCCTTGAATGCATGGGCTAAGCAGTCCTCCTGCCTCAGTTGGGACTACAGGTGGTGCACCCTGGCACCTGGCTAAGTCAGGGTTTTTAAGAGCAAGGGCACCCTCACCTTTTTAATTCCAGTCTGATGTGGCATCAGTACCATTAAGCAGTCTGAGCTGTATCTGTCAGCGTACAGGCATCGGTACCCTGTGTGGCCACAGATGCTGTAGCCGTGAGCTGGTGCTGAATTGGGTTCCTCTAGCACCCAACTATGACTTTGGGGGTCAACTACACCATTCTGGCCTGAGTTTTCATCTGTGAATTGGGGATGATAGTGGTAGCTACCTTATAGCAGCCTCATGAAGTTTGAGTAAGTTAACACCAGCAGAATGCTGAGACGGTGCCCGGCACCTGGAACAGGCTTCCTGAGGAGGAGACCTGTGCAATCATAAAGGAGCCTACCCTTTGGTACTCTGAGGGTGCAGTCCTGAGCTCCAGACAAGAGGCCCTGTGTTTTCATTTTGCAGCAGGTCCTGCAAGTTACAAAGCTGGCGCAGTGGAGGTGCACAGCCTGCCTTCCTCAGTGTTAGGCTATGTGCTGTGGCTATGAAAATTCAGGGACGTGGTATTTCGGGATGGTAGAGTCGGAAGGTTTATAAGTGGAGGGGAGCTGGTGGGGCCCTACATAGCCCAGGGCCTGTGTGTGCAGTACCTCCTCCCCCGTCCCCCAGCAGTCTAGGTCTGTCCCCAAAGGCCCAGGGTGGCTCACCGCTCCTGGAGTCTTGGTCAGTGCCATTTTCCCTGCCAGGTGGGCCTGCATGGCACTCAGTTTCTCCTTTTCCAGGGCCAGCTGTGGGGATGGGCATGAAAGTGAGGCTTTGGACTGGCTTTTCTCTGCCACAGCCTTGCCCAGGCTGTGGCTGTCCGTGGGAGCACCCTTCACTCTGCCTCCCAGTGCGCAGCTCTCATCGAAGGTGAGCTGGTTCCTGGCACAGGGTGGGCTTGAGGCTTGCCCAGCATCCCCTGCCCCACCTGCCCCCTGCAGGCATTACCTGCTGCTCCAGAGATTGCACTGCCTCTCGCTGGAGGAGACACTGTGCCCTGCCCTTCTCATCCGGGAGGTGGTCCACCTGGCAGTGCCTGGGTAGGAGAAGATTCTATACAGCTGGCCATGGCGGGCTGGCCTCCTGGCTCAGCATTCGGGTTGGGGATGGCCCAGACTCCCTGGGAGGTGTCTGCTTAGTCTCAGCTCTTCCCCTCTGACCGTCAGTCTCCTCCTCACATCTGTCCCTCTTCCCACACACGCTCCCTCAGCATCTGCCGCTGCCTGGCCTGAGCTCACCCCTTGAGCCTGGCCAGGTGTTGGAGAAGATGTTGGAGGGGTGGTTGGTGGAGAGTCAGCCGGACTGCTGAGAGCAGAAATGGTATTCTAGATGGAGGAGAAGCTTGTGCAAAGGCCTGGCTGTGCAGAGGGCAGGGCATGCTGAACTGCAACAGCCGTGTGTGTGTGTGCGCGTGGTGAAGTGGGGCGGAGGAGAGGCAGCAGCAGCCACGTAGAGCTGGGGTTTGGGGCTCAATACCAAGGTGTACTGGCATGAGGGTAGCAGGGCAAAGGAATTAGGAGTGTGCATTCTGAAGCCTAGCTGCCTAGGCTTAAATCCGAGCTGTGTAATGTAGGAACTTGATCAAGACACTTACCTTCTTTGGCCTCAGTTCCCTTATGTGTAAAATGGAAGTAAATATCAATGTACACGATTATTATTATTGTACGCCATTATACACACACGGAAACGGAGGCCCAGAAGAGCTAAGTAGCTTGGCTAAGGTCACACAGCTGGGGTGTGAGTGTGTTGAAGCTGGGATTGAGCCTTAGGCTCAGCCCTCATCTTCCTATCGGGAGGAGGCCTGAGTTGAGATCTGCAGCACAGACCTCTGTCTACAAAACAGGACCCCGCTGGAGTAGGATGGGCCCAGGCCACTCACTTGAGGAAGTCTTCTGGCTCCTTGAAGACCTTCTCACATCCAGGCCACTTGCAGACACCATTTGCCAGCAGAGGAAAGGAGCCCTGGGGCATGGCTGAAAGCGTGCTGGGAAACAGAGAGTGTCAGCCGGAGGGATAGGAGGGCGAGAGGGTCCCTTCCCGGCCTGCCTACTCACCTTTCCTTCCTGGGCGCACTGGGACTTGGGAAGGCGCAGAGCAGTGCTGGCTCCCTGGACACCCACTCCAGGCTGGCCACGTTGATTCCTGCAGGCAGGGACAGGATGTGTTCTACAGCGTGGCCCACAAGTCTCTTCTCCCTCCTGAGCCTTGACATCCTGACTCCCAGGGAACTCTGTTGTTGCCACCGCCCAAAACTTCTGGCAGAGCAGCTCAAAGACAAATGCTGGCAAGTGCTGACATTCTGACTAACTGCGAAGATCTGTGGTTCCATGCTTCTGACGTTTTGAGTTTAAGGTTCTGAACTTGACATTTTTGGGAGGCTGGAGTTTCCATGACTGAGCCCTGAGCCCTTCGACCTCCAAAGGGCTGCAGTTCACAACAGTCTACACTGCACATGTTCAAGGACTTGGGGACTCTCGGGGTTCTGTGATGCCGTGGGGTATGGGTTGAGGTGTTACCAGGTGGTAGGCCAGGTCGGGCCTTGAAGGAAAACACCCCAGTGGCAGCGGTGGGTGGCGGGAGGCTGATCATGGCCGGGCTGTCCAGCGGGCGCACCTGTAGCACGGGGGTCTGGGCTTGGGCATCCACTGTGGAGAGCTACCGACACACGCAGGTCATGGCTTAGCCTGGCTTGGGGCCTCCCCACAGCTGCCCGCTCCTCCCAGCCCATTCAGCGTTCGTACCTGGTGCATAAAGTGTGGCCTGTCCTGCAGAAGTGCCTGCAGATGGGGTGAGGAGCCCAGCCGTGCCCCGGAGGGTGCCACCATGACTAGGGGCACTGTGGGCAGCTGGAGGGAAAAGGCAGGCATGTGAGATGCCATCCTCATCTTATGGTTCTGTCTCCTTCATATGTTCCTCACCTCAGCCCGCCATGGGAGGTAGTATGATCACCTCCATTTTACACATGTGGAAACTGAGGCCAATGGAGACTGAATGGCTTTTTCTTTTTTAAGATCATAGAGCTCGTAATTGGCAGAACTGACAACAACCTTGTCACCTCACCTCCTAGGGCCCCAGCTATCTCCTGTCCTATGGGGATGAGGACACATGGCTGTGCCCACGGAAATACGATAAGGTCTCCTCTCCTGAGACAAGAATCGGGAGGTCGGGGAAAGACTCAAATCTCTGAGGCCTGGAAAGTGGGGACTTTCTTGGCCCTGTAACATCTGCATAAGTCACAGACTTGCCTGGGACCCAAAAACCACTTCCTGTGCCCCAGCGGGTCCCCCCTCCCACCCTGTGCCACAGTAAAGGTCGACACCTGTAGGCCCAGGTACCCCACCCTGCCTGCCCCATTCTGGGCCCTGAGCCTCACCTGAAGCTGCGCTGGTGGTAGGGGGTTCAAAGAGGAGGAGGAGGAGGAGGAGGCATGAGTCCCACTGCGGAGGTCCCGGCCCTGGAAGGTTCCTCCTGGGCTCCTGGGTCCCAGCAAGTCTGAGGCCTTTGGTGTAGCCCTCCAGCTGGGTGAGGCTCCTGGGGATGGGCCAAGGGGCAAGGAAGGGGCCAAGGGCTTGGCCGGCCTGGAGTTGGGCATCGGGTGCTTGTACGAGGGCAGGCTATAGGAACACAGGGAGAAGGAGTTATGCATGTGCTATGGGTGCTGTGAGCTATTCTACCACCTGAGGCATGTGGACAGCCTCTCTGGTGAGAGCAGGTGTCAGTCAGGGCATGTCCTGGCGGGTCCTGTGACTGCACCCCATCTCTGGTCACACACGTATACACAGTGGTGTCAGGAACACAGTCAGATGTGTACCCATGTGCCCCACAGGCACAGGCTCAGCGTCCAGCCTGCCTACACGTGCCAGCACAGCCCTGCTGTGTATGTGTCCTCACCATGGCCATGGGCAACTGGTTTGTGGGGCTTCAGCCAGGGTAGGTCCCAGCCTATCTCTCCACTATCTGAAGCCAATCTTAAGCCTCAACCTTCCAGTACCCCTTGTACCCTGCAAGGACCACACAGTCTTTGCTGATTCTGCTGGAGCTGGTCTTTAACTCTTAGGAGTTTTGTTAGTTTACCCCATTGGCTTGGGCATGGACTCAAAAGACTCATCTGGCTGCTGTGAGGGGGACAAGCTCTAGGGAGTACTAGTGAGCGGGCTACTGCAACAGTCCAAGCAAGTGATAACTGCACCATCTTGGGTAGTGGCAGGGGAGCTGGAGAGAAGTGGCTGGATTTTGAGTCTGTTTTGAATGTGACGTCAGAAGTTGTGGGCATCTTGGATGTAGGAGGTGAGAGGGAGGACCAAGGGGACTTCTGGGGTTTAGCTTGAGCGGCTAGAACAGAGCCGACATTACCAGGGATGGGGATTGGAGGAGCAGGGTTGAGAGTCAGAATCAGGTGTGGATGCATATGAAGAGTCTGGAATTAGACACACTGTGGACATGCCGAGTGGGCATGTATAAAGAAGTGTGGAGCTCAGGGCAAGGGCAGGGAACGATTAGCTCTGTATTCCTGTCCTGCACAGAGCTAGCATGGCAAGTGCTGGAGGGACAGGCTAGAGGAAGGAAGCACAGGCTTTCGTGAACTAGGGCCTGTGAGACTTTCTCAATCAGCTCCCATCTGTGGTCACCCGAGTCCCTGTTCACCAAGCCTTGGCTCACACTGTTCAGCGTGCCTGGAATGCCCACACCTCCTCCACTTCTGCTTTTCCAGTGTTCTGTTCCCGAAAGCCCTCATCATGGCTTCAGGCCCCTCTGCTTAGCCCCAGCACCCTATCCTCCCCAAAGTGCATGGGTTCAGTTTCTCAGGATCCTGTGATCCCAGTTGGCAGGCAAGCCAGAACTGGAAGACTGCCCGGTCCAACTTGCGCGTTACTGAAGGAGACACCCAAGTACAGAACTCCCTGGTCCCATGGCAACTTGAGACCTCCACTTCCTTCTCTAGGAGATGTGTGCCTGTGTGGATTTCATGTCTTCTGCTCTGCTGGGCGTGTGCACGTGTGTGTATGTGTGTGACTCCCCATGCCACTGCATGGCACAGCACTTGGGTTGGGCGCACAGCTGCTGAGAGCAGCCTGGAGAACAGAGGGTTGGGGGAGGCAGTTGTTCCTTTCCTTGCCGTCACCTCATGGGGGTTGTCATAGCTGTGATGCTGTGGAAGATGGTTGTGATGAGCAGGTATTAAACTCTTGGGAGCTAGAGCATTAGTGTGAGAAGCAGGAGTCTGGCCCATGGAGGCTTAGAACAAGGGCCCGGGAGAACAGTGCTGAGACGAGGGGGTGAGGGAATGGATGAGTGAAGGCAAGGATGAGGTGACGCTTCTACAAGCCAGAGAACAGCAAAGATGGCCAGCAAACCAGCAGAAGCTAGACGAGAGACATGGAACAGAAGAGATTCTCTCACGTAGCCCACAGAAACAACTAGCCCCGCTGACATTTTTCCTGGTACTGGGGATGGAACCCAGGGCCTTCACACTGAGCTACATCCCCAGCCCCTTTTATTTTGAGACAAGGTCTCTCCGTGTTGCCATTTTGCCCAGGCAAGGCTCAAAGTTGTGATCCTCCAGCCTCCGCCTCCCAGCCATGCTGATATTTTGATTTTAGACTTTGAGCCTCTAGAACTTGGAGGGGATACATTTTTGTTGTTTAAGCACCCACTACTCCCGTTTGTGATACTCTGTTACAGCAGCTTAAGCAAATACCCCTTTTGGTGAGTGAGTGGATGTTTTCTTCTACTTGGTCCTGTCCCACATAGCTGGTTCACGGTCACTTCTGAAGCTGCCTAGACACTTGGCCAGAGTTTATAAGACATGCCCTCCCTAGGCATGTTTTTCAGAAAGGGGACGTGGCTATGGTCTGGCGGGTGATGGAGGACCTGGGGGGCCAGGCTGGCCAGCCGGCTTCCTGCGCTGTCTGTTGGGGCGTCCCTTTCTGACTAGGTTTCTCAGAAGCTGCATGGAGGATGTTTCTGGGACATAGATTATGTTTTCCTATCGGGGTCTGCATCTGGGCCCTGTTGTCACAGCCCCCAGCTTCCCCAGATATTTCCGCCATTGACGTCACGGCGGCCGGATGCGCTGGGCTTCATCGGCGCTAAGGAGGAAGAGAAGGGGGCAGGTACCCCACCCTATGGGTTTCGTTCCGAGAACTGGCTGGCCCATCCTGCAGCCGGCTTGGCCCAGGTGGGGTGATGTAGGTGTTGGCGGATGTGGTGGGTGACGTCCATCTGGCCACTATCATGAGCCCCAGGTTTTGTAGACCTGGCCTTTTTTGGGCTGCTGACAGACTGCAGGCTGGAAGTTCAGGGAGGGCCAGGCAGACCCCATTGATACTGGGACTCCCGGGGTCTTGAAACAGTACAACCTCAGACCTCAGAATTGTAAGAGATCATTTCTTAGATTAAATGGATCCTAAATCTCAAAACTACCAACTTTGTGGGGTCAATGGATTCACCTTCTCAGTATGTGTAGACCAATGTCCTTGGTGTCCAAACAAATGGGAACTAGCTCGCTCGTCATACGCCTCCTGCCCAGTAGGCCCAGAATGGCAGCAGCCATCTCCTCAGCCTCCCTCTTGAGTTCCATGAAGGCAGAAAGTCAGAAGAGGCCCCTTCTTTCCCCAAGCCCGAGGCCAGCCTCTGCTACCAACTGGCTTTAGCATTCCTCAAATAAAGCTTATGTGTACACTAGGACAGGAATAGTTCCTAAATTTAGGCATAGGAAACACTTAGCAAAATGTCAGCGATTGTTAAACGGACACTTGCATGGACCCAGTCTTCCTGTCTATTCTGGGACAACGTTCCCCAACTCACAGCACTCTGGCAGAGATGGGGATGGAAGGAGGAGGTTGAAGCTGGCAGGCCTTTGACCTGGGCCTCATGAAAGGAGTCCACTATCAGCCTCTCTGGAGGGGCCCCCTAGGACAGAGGTTCCCAGGGAACCAGTGTCAGCTCTGGGGACATGCAGACTGACTGACCTCCTTCCATCATTACCATCCTCTGGCCAACTGAGACTCTTGAACCATGGGGCCTGGGGTTCCACCCAGATCTGCTCGTAGGAGGGTAGGCCCGATGCCGTGAGCCTGGATCATCCCACCCACGTCAGGGTCCAACAAGTAAGAAGGTACAAGGGGAATGGTAGCTCAGATTCCTCTTAACCCCCTTCGTGGGTGCAGGGCAGTAAACTGAGGCTCATAGTGGGAGAGAAAGAGGCAGAGCCAGGGACCCACTGAGAGTCCTAAGACCTGAGCCTGGGTCTCAACTCTGCCCCTGCACCTCTGTGGGGCCTGGAGAGGGACCCTCCAGCCCATAGCTGGGCCTCAGTTTTCTCTTCTACAACGGGCAGGGCAGAGGAGGGACAAGGCCCTTCTGCTCTGTGTCTTGTTAGGTGTCTACAGGCCTTTGAGTTGACAACTCCTGCTCTATCCAAGAGGACAGAGAGAGATATGCAGAGAAAGACAGACGGAGACACAGACATGGGCAGAGGGAGAAACAGACACGGGAGAACAGAGATGCAGAGAATAAGAGATTCAGAGAAAAGGAAAGAGACACGAGGTGAGACAGAGACAGAGAGTGAGAGACAAAGACAGTGAGAGATAGTGGGAGACATTGAGAGGAAATGGAGTGACATTGAAAGAAATGGAGTAATACGGAGAGATGGAGAGAGAGAGCACTGCCCCATAAGGAACAGTCACTGCCTTCTGGCTGGTGGACTGATGGTGCCTAAAATAATTAAGGATAGAGAAGGGCGAAGTCCTGGGATGCCCATAGCTGGGTGTTGAATAGTTCCGTGAACACCAATAAACACAACAGTATGGTTGTGGTACAAAGACAGATACTGAGGATCAGACTGAGTAGAAAGCTTGGACAGAGACCTGTGCATGGAGGGAACAGTGTTTGTGATAAATGTAGCATTTCAACATGGAGGATGTTGAAGAAAAGAGTAACAAATGTTTCTGAATAATCAGGGGAAAATAATTGACTGAGTGAATAATCAGTCCATTTTCCCACCAGCCCCTCCCTGTCCCGTTTGAAATGACACCATGATTATATACTCCAGAATAAACTCCAGATCCACTACGGAGATACACTTCAATGTCTAATGTAGATCTTGGGTTTATTGTGTGTCAGGCCCTGTGCTAAGCACTTACCATAATTAATAGATATAATCCTCACCAAGACCCTTTGAGATAGGTACTATTATAATCACTACAGTGCATATGAGGAAATGGAGGCACGGAGAGATTAAGTGCCTGGCTAAAAATCACACAGATGACTGGGGGGAGGCTGGTTTTGTCCCAGACAGTCTGGCTCCAATACCCACACTCTTAACCTCTACAGTAAGTGGAAAAAGTGAAGCCATAAAGGAGACCAGAAGCCAACACAAGGTGAACATTTATCTCATTTTCAAGTGGGAAAAGACTTTCTAAGCACAAAACCAGAGGCAGAAACCACACAAGAAAAGACCAACCTATTTGACTATATAAAAACAGCCTAAGTGTCACAAAAAACACCATCAACAAATAGAAAAAGCAAACGGTGAATAGGGGGAAAACATTTGCTATATATATATGACTGAAAAAAGTTTAATACTCTTTCCAAATAAAGATCCACGGCCAAGTAATAAAGAAGTTGAACTCCCTGCTAGGATTAAGGACTTGACTAGCCCCCGCCCCCCGCAAAAAAGCACAAATGGCTAACAGACAGTAAAAGTAATCAAAGAATGCAAATTTCAACAATGTGGTAAGTTTCTTCTTGCCTGTTATATTGGGAAAGGACTAAAATAGAATATCCATCCAGGACTAGCTTGAATAAAGGGAGTATAAAACAGGACAACCTTCGGGAAGAAGTACTCGCAGAGATGGTCAGAAACCATAAAAATGAACATTCCTTTTACCCCAGCAACTTCATTTTCAGGAATCCAAGGACTCAGTCAGGAATGTTTATGGGGAAAAGTTAGACAACCTGATGTCCAATAATCAGCACTTGGTCCAATCATAATTCCTGCTGATGTGAGGACATTCATGACGGCCATGAAAGACCATGTGTTCGAACAATTTTTAGTGGGCTACAAAATGCTATTAATTGGATAAAGCAGGAACAAACTAATATATAGCACAGTTCTAATTTGCTAGAGTAATTTTTTAACTTAAAAAAATACTAATGGGTAACACATAGTGCTTACTGTGTACCAAGTACGGTTTTAAACCTGCAGACATCGGCTCATCCCAGCCCTGAATGGCCTGCTCTCTTCCTGACACATATTCTGGTCACCCGCATGCAGTCCTGGGGTAGGACCACAACACATAGCTGAAGCATGGTTGACAATGGCATGAAATGCCCCCCAAGACGCTCTCTCATGCCACACAAGTACAAGTTTAATTAGATGCTCAGCCTGACCGGACAACTCATGATCCTCCTGCTACTGGGACAGGAAGAATTGCCACCTATTTCTGTAAAATGAAAATGGACTCAGAGACACTCAAATCCCTATTAAGCACCAGCTGTGTATAAAACTCTGTGTTGGATGCTGGGTGGGAAGAGGGGCGATGGAAGCTAAGAGGAGAGAGCTGGAGCTGGTGGGAGAGAAATGGAGGGAAGGCAGTAATAGACGGAGTGTGGCCAAGATGGAGGAGACGGAGACAAGGGCGACTGTCAGAGCCTTGGGAAGACAGACTGACAGAATCTGAGATCGAAAGAGACACAGAGATGTCAGAGGAAAGAGGGCAGAGAAACGGGGTGCGACAGAGACAGAGAAAGGTGGGGGGGGGCATCGAGACAGAAGAGACCTGGCTAAAATTTCCCGGAACACTTGGATAGCATTTTAAGTTGTTCAAAACTCTGAAATCCATCAAGACTGGCAGTTGACATATTTAAAAAATCCTACCCATCTGTGTATCAATTGATCAATGTATTGATCTTTGTCCTTGCTCAAGCATCAGTGAAGTACCTCACCTAGTTGGCATTTATTATGACTATTATTATTTTTAAAAAGCTCTTACCTGGTTGGGTTCACAGCGGCAGGACGCATCCATCTATACAGGCGCGCCCCCGACCCCCAGTGCCTGCCTCCCCGCCTTCTCCTCCGAGGGCCGCATCTGGCTGGGGAGAGCAGGGACACTCACCTTGGTGAAGTGCACTGACAGAGAAGGATCAGGCTGGTTTGTGGGAAACTGTCACATATCAAAAACAACTTTGCTTTTATACCGAGAAGAAAAACCACGGTGTGGAAGCCGCAGACCTCGCTCTTCTAATAATCCAATTTTTTTTTTCGATGAGTGTACGCTGATAATCATGGGGTGGGGGGGTTCTCATAGATTTCTCTCTCTCTCTCTTGCTGTTTCTTCTCTTCTTGATTATGAGACTTAAACGGAAATTTTGAAATTTTGGGTTTTTTCTTTGCCCTTTACGAGTCATCTGAAAATATGATTTCTTCCCCTTACCACAGAGGTGAGAGGTATCAATGAGATAACAGAGCTCATGAGAAACCACAGTTTTTAAAACAAAAGTGTGTACAGTCAGAAAAAAATAAAGGGAAAAAACTCAAATCACAGAGGCATCCAAAGGCAGGCAGGACACCATTCTCTGTAGGAGGATATTTGAGGGTCTCTGGGTGAAGAAAGTGATGCCCCGTGTATGACAGGAAACACCAGGGAAGAGAAAGAATAGGGCTGGCTTACCAGAGGCTTCACCCTGCCTCAGCGCTGTTTCCCCTTAGGTGGAACTGATATGGTTACCACCATTTGTGCTGGCCTGGGAGGGGGCGTGCTGGACACCCCTGCAGCCCTCTTCCCACAGGGGTGAGGGGCATGTAAATACTTCATGGAGAAAAAGTGGGGAGTCTACCTCTGCCCTCTACAATTCACAGAACTGAAGAGTCTGAGAATTTGTGGCTCCCAGAATCCACCGAGAGTCACTGAGGGAGGGAAGGCAGGAAAATCTTGCCTCATCACGTCTTAGGGCTTGAGAGCTCTGACCTGGTAGCTGCTCTGCTGGGAAGGTCCCAAGCAGGCTACCGGTATTCATGTACCCACCCAATCTCGTGAAGAAGCCCAGAGGTCCCTTGGGACACTGGGCCTCTCCTGTCACGAGCACCATAGCCTGATGCTTCGGATGCCCTCAGCCATTCTGATGTTTTACTTCAGAAAGTCCCTGTTTCCAAGGGTTTAGGATTCCAAATATCCACCATCATGCGGATAGCTGACATTTACCTCGAATTTTCTAGGTGCCAGATATAGCACCCAACACCTCCGACAAACAGTTGTGTTCGATCTTTGCCAGAACCCTTTGAAGTCCATTTCATCATTATTGTACTGCCGTTAGACAGATGGGGAAAAGGGCGGCATAAAGTAGTCGACCGACCCGCCCAAGACCACAGAACTGGCAAGTGGGGGTCCCACCTTCCTTGGTGCTGGGCTTTAAAACTGCCAGTTTCTCTGAGCCCAACAGTCTCAGGCTTTAAATTCTAAGATGCGACGACGACAGGGAGGTTCTGGCATTTGGAGATTCCTCTGGGGGTTTAATTGTAGAGTCTTAAGGTTATCCAGGAGACAAGGCTGCATTTCCTCCTCAGGTGCTCTTTTGCTCCAGCCACTGGTCACTGGGAGCCCAGCCTCCAGGGGCTTCTGCTCACAGGCCGGGGCTGAGGTCTCCAGCATCCGCTCTCCAGTGCCCTGCGGGGCTCAGGTTTCTAGTCATCCACTGTCTACTCCAGCCCTTCTGTAAGTCTAGCTTCTGGCTTGGGGAAGAGAAATTGGAAACAGCTTCTTATTCACACAATATAAATCTAGTGGCCAAGACCCACCCCTGTGCCCCTTCCTTCCCTACCTTCTAAGCCCTCAAATCCATCAAGGACAGCATTTTTCTTCAATGCAACTCACCTTTCTGGAAAAGGCCAGAATGGAGTGGATGGCTTGGGTTTGTGAAGATGAGAGAGAGGTGGGGGGAGGGAGGGAGGGAGGGAGGGGGAACAGAAAAAAAAAAAGACCTAAAAAATCAACCAACAACAACAATTTAAAAAAAAAAAAAAAAAACCAACCCTCCTTACCACTAGGTCAAAACAGAACCTTCACTGGCTGGGGCTTCTGGGTTGGTGGGACACGTCTAAGAACCAAAGATGGCCATTGTTAGGCAGTAGGGGAGGCACCAAGGCAGGATGAAGGCCCTGAGCTTGGAGGTCTGAGGGACCCTGCGTAACAGATCTTGTTACTTGTGGGAGGGAGCAAGGGAGGGGGTGCAGAGCATGCTTGTCAGGAAGGAGTCCTGGGGTGCTGGCTGTAGGGATGTCCCAAAGGTTAATGATGCCTTGCTCCCTGTGGACCTAGGTCTGAACATGCCTTATGCTACCCATGTAATTTCAAACAGGCTAGTTCTAGAAGTTGAGGTCCCAATCACTGTCCTAGCACCTGTTTCCCGCTGGGAGAAGGGGCTAATTTTCTCTCTTGGGGTACAAGGTATGGGCTGCATTCTCCTTATACTTTCCCTTGATTATCTCTCCCTTA